TAACATTTCTATTTAGCTGTATTTAGTATTATGGTTGGTCATGGAAGGTAGTCATATGTAGATTTTATTGGGTAAATGAAAACATGGGTAGTTAATGTAGGTTTTGGAGCTTATAGAGAGGGTAACTTTGAGGAAGATGAAAATATCAAAATACATTTTGGATTTATTAGTGGAGCTGATCATATAAAATAAGCAGGTTAGGAGGCTCATCATGAAGAAAAGATTTTAGAGTGTGCAACAAAAGAAGAAGAACCTCCCATGCAAATTCATTTTGAATAAAGTTCAACTCTCTAATTACATGGAGTATCAGAATATGGGTATGGTTTTTGGTTGAGATATCAATATTTAGGATCTAAATAAAGGATTTTCTCATAACCTCAACTTATGGGAGTTGCAAGATTAACTAGCAATAGAGATTATAAAGATTTTGATAATCCAGGGGATAGAGTTCTATTGATAGTGATGGGTAGAAAGGCTTTCACTTTTGGCACTTATGATGTTATAACAAAAGCAAATAATGTTGGTGGTGATTTAGAATACAAAAGAGAGAGTGAAGGAGAATGGCAATATCTTTATTTTAGTTATAAGAGACATACTTAATAGGAGGGACATGCTATAGCTTTTACTTAATTTAGAGACCACACTGAAGGATTAAAAATGGATGTATTACATTCTTTATTAACAAACTATTTATACTTTTCTGTTGGTCATGCTGGCAAATATTATGCTAATTTCAATGGGTAAATAACCAAAGTTAGAATTAATTTGGGTCCAGGATCTTTTATTGACAATAAAGTTGATTTGTTATCTAGAATAAAGACTAAAGATACTATTCCAGATATTGAATAAGTAAATAAGAATATTGAAATTTTATCTGGAATACATGATGTAAGAAAACTTGATGAGAAACATCATTTAACAACATTTAATCAAGAAGTAAGAGAATATGGAGTATAATTGTGGTTTAGATGGTTTAAGAGTTAAAAGAGTACATAATTGATGTATAGATTGACAACAAATGGAGCAGATATTCTAGGAGATGCATAAAAGATAGGTGATAGGACTCTAGTATTATGTCATACAGAAGGTTTAGAATTCAGTACTTATAGTTTGGGTGATAAGACAGTTTAATTAAATAATGCATATCCAGTTTAGATTGCAAAATAGAATTAGGAAGTGTGGACATTTGCATATTTTGCATATTCAAAAGAGAACTAATAAATAGTTTATTATATTAATACTGAAGATAATGAGTAACATGCTTTAGAATCTGCTTTACATGCAGTATCATCTAATTATTGGTTCTATTTGGCCAAAGATGCTCTTTTGAATTCTTATGATAGTCGTTTAGCTTAAGTAGTATTGAATTTTGGAACTGGTGCATTTAGAAAGGATAATTTTAAAGGTTTGATGGTTTATTTATAGTCTCCAAAATTATTCAATCCAAATGCAAAATTATAATGGGATTATGAAGAAGATGAGTTGGTATTAGATTCCTAAGATACTAATAAATAAGGTGTAACAATAAGAATTGCTGAACCAAATTAAAAGATTGAGAGTATTTAAGAATATTCTATTGGTTTATGGATTCGTTTCTTGTAAGCTTGGCCATCAAGATTATGGAATATACCAAGTGAAATGTAAATCTTCAGATTGACTTCAAATGAAGAATTGGAAAATGGCAAGATTGTTATTGGTGATAGAGTTTTGAGTGCATATTTGGTATATGATAACTTTTAATTTGGTGCATATGATATAAATGAAGATGCTCCAAATGAAATATCTACAATTTCTTATTCATCTTTAGAAGGTAAATGGCATTATATCTATGCTGGATACAAGAGATCAATATAGGAAGCTATTTATTATGTTTATGATGGAGAACATATCAAAAAAACAAAGAATGAATAATTGTTGTAGAGACCATTGAATGAATGGATTAAATTGATATTAGGTGGAGAGAAGAATGTTGCAGGATTTCATGGATTATTTAGTCAGATTTCAGCCCATCTCGGTAAAGAAGCATATATAGATAATGAAGAATAATTACTAAAATCAATAGAATCAAGTTATGCTTTGCCATTAGAATTAACTGTAGGGTATATTCAAAAGTAAAAGAAGGGATAAGTAGAATTAGAATAATATAAGACACAAGAATTAACTCAAATATAAGGAATAGGAGAATATGCAATAAGTGGATGGTTTAAGATTGCTGAAGTACAAGCTAAAATTGAAGGTGAAATTAATTCACCATGTCAAATCTTATTTAGATTGACCAATAATAATGAAGAACATTTGTCTGATAGGAAATAATAAGGAGATAGAACTTTGTATGCTTAAGTTTGTACAAGTGATACAGTTAAGGTGAGTACTTATAGCATTTTAGGATTGAAGGATTGGAATGAAGCTAAGTTTTTGGAGGCAAAAGCAGAAATGGGTAATTCAAAGAGAGCTTGGACATACTTCTATATGAGTTATAGTGAAGATAAGAGAGAAGTTGCAACATTAATAAAATTATTTGAGAAAGATGTTCCTATTGTATTTAAAGATGTATAGCATTTTGTTGCCAATAATATGTTTATTTATTTGGGTAAAGATTCATTTAGCAGGAAATTCTAAGGAGAATAACACAAATGGGAATTATAATTTGGATCTGGATCTCATACTTATAATGAAGAAACAATGCCAAATTTAAGATATATTATTAAGAATCAGAAAAATATGTGGTTTATGAAAGAAGATAAGAAAATTGATAATAAATTTGAATAAACTTTCAATAAAGAAGTTGAATCTGTAGATGAATATGCTGTTGGTATGTGGACTAGATGGTTGATAGCTTTTCCAACTACTTTGACTGAAAGATCAGATACTCATACTATCTTCCGTCTTTCATAGACTTTAGAATATTAAGATAAGGCAGATTTAGGAAATAGAGCATTATCTGCATTTCTTAAAAAAGGATTTTATGAATTCAGTACTTATGATGTATCAGCTCCAAGTAATGCTGTTGATGCAAAAGTTAATTATGAAAATTTAGAAGGAGAATGGAATTACATATATGCAAGTTATAAAAATAAATAATTTTATGGATTAATTATTTTTAGGGATAGACAACATGTTGAATAAGTAAAATTAGATGTAACTCATTTTGTATTTACTGGACATGCTAACTTGGTTCTTGCAGCAAATGAATTTGGTTATAAGTCATTCCATGGATGGATATATGATCCAAGAGTATTTTTGGGTGCTGGTGCTTTCTTAAATAATCCTGATACAATATTAGAGATGGTTCATAAATTACATCGCAAAGTCCCTATAAGTTCATAGTCATCTGAAGGATTTGGATGGCCAGTCAAAATGTTGGATACTACTAATTGGGATGATTTAGATGAAAAAAAGAGTGAACTTAGATATGAGTTTGATGATAAATAAGAAATGCTCAGTTATAGTATTGGATTTTGGTACTAAAATGCCCCACTTTTACCAGAAATGGAAGATGAATTCAGAGGGCTATTAAGATTGACTTCTAATAATGAAGAAGTAGGTTAGGATAATTAATTTATTGGAGATAGAACGTTGGCACTCTTTACAAAGGTAAATGAGTTAATGGCTGCAACCTATACTATAAAAGATCCTTCATTTGAATCCTTATAACATACATTTAATGTTAAGCCTTATCAATGGACATTTGTATATTTTGGTTACCATTAACATGAAGTGAGGGCTTATATTTTATAACCAGCTGGAATACAAGAACATACAATAGAAGCAACACATATGATTCCAAATAAACTTTATTTGCATTTAGTAAATGACATAGGACATCCTTCATTTTGGGTATCTTTATTGTTTAATTATCTTTTTTAGGGTAAATTGTATGGATTAAAAGTCAATTTTGGTGACGGTAGTTACTTAGACAAACCATAGCAACTAATTGATAGATGGCCTTTCGATCCTAATAAGATTATATTAACCAAACAAGAGACTAGTTCCAAAGAATGATTGCTTATATAGATATAAAAAAATCAATCCGAATCACTCTTTAGAGATAACTTGTCATCAGTCAAATTACGAGCATAGAGCCAATTACAAAAGCTTAGCACAATTTAGATCATTGTTTCTCGCAGATTTCCCATTCTACTTAAATGTACAATTTAATGTCGCTCTGAAAGTTATTAGATGCTTTTTAAAACCTATTCTAATTGAGAACAAATCAACTGGTTAGCCTTCTCAACCAAATTATTTGTAGTACAATCTGGATTCTCTTAGAGTAATCGTCTGAAGGTATACACAAAAAGAAAGACTAATTTCATTTACTCAAAGGTAAGGAATTCTTTGACTTCATGAATGAACTTGATAAAGGCATGCTGAGGAGTGGAGACTTCAACAGGAGAACTTTATTTCAATAATTCATGATAATAGTCTAATCGAAACTCTTTGGAATCAGATTCCATCATATATAACTAGATTTCCCACATAACGAGATCATACATATCTTAGACTGTAAGAGAAGTCTGTTGTTGGTCTTCTTACTTACCTAAGGCATTTGCAAGAGTAGCGAAGATGTATTGAGTCTGAGACTCCGAAAACGTCGACTCTTATCTTTGTTCATCTAGGTTCTTTAGAGATTACTACAGTATTATGTCATTTGAAAACCCCATTGTGTTTTTATTTGTTGTGAGTGTACAAGGCTGGATAACTCAAGTAAGACTTTCCACACTCACACTTATATTCACGAAGAGCATCGCTGACCTTACGTGTTCGTCTTCTTTTCTGTTATTCAAAGCTTTCAACTCCTTTCTTGGGTGATTAAGACTCAATGACACTTGAATTAGTATTAGATTTATCTTACATATTAATTATTCAAAAAAGAGAATTGGTATGTCTGAGATAAGAAAGCGAATTGGTTTGTTTATGAAATAAGAAAGAATAAACATTTGGATTACTAAAATAAATTATTAGAGTAGTTTGGAATATATTGAACATTTTTTAATGAAGTTTCAATCATACCCTTACCATGTTCTTCTTACAATCTTTTTGGGATAAATACTTTGTATGAAAACAGGAGTACTTTATTAATTTAGACACTCAGTAGGATGAGAATTCTTATAATTAAACTTACCTACCATAGTTTTTAAGAATTGTAGTTAATTCTTACTCATATTCATCATCATAGGAACAATATCAATTTCATTAGTCATAGTACTATTATCTCTATGAGAAACTGGTTAAGATGAATTATAATTTGATGCTCTCCTAATTTTTTTAAGTAAGAGTCTGCTAGTATCTCTATAAGTTAGTGAATGATCTGTTGGTTCAAAACTACTAATCTTAGTATTTTAAGTAGCTATTTTACCAATACCTAATTCACATAAAATTTCATTTCCAAATATATTCAAATTCTCTAATTTCTTAGTACTCCCCTTGCTATTATTTCTACTAGTATTAATATTCCTCTAATTATTATTTTTAATTAATTTAGGTCGTTTTAATGGTGAAGGTGTGACCATCTAAGGACGACTAGGTTACAATCTTTAAAATTATGTTATTTGAATTGCTGGATCAGGCATAATGAATTCAGATAACAATTTTTTTTCTTCTTCAAAAGTTTATTATTTTTCATTTAACTTAATACTGAAATGTACATTTTCATTCATTCTTGTCTTCAACCATTATTATTTAATTCTCTCTTTATTCTTCAACAAGTCTCTAAACCAAACAAATCTATGTCCCAAAGCTTCTAAATCATGAATACTTAAACCAATTAATTTATTCTTTGAAGATATACTATTACATTTAAAAATATGTCTATTTGCTGTATAGGATTCTTCACCTAATAGACATCCTTAACTTACCTTTGCAATCACAGTAGCAGATTATAATACACTTTCTTAATTATCAAAAGATAATTGAAATTCTCCTTCTTTAACAATGTATATGAATTTTTAAACTTCCCCTTGAATATAGACTATGTTGTATTATGTGTACTTTTTGGAAGTATATTTATTGACCAACACTTTCATAATTTGATTTACATCTTCCTAATTGACTTTACTTTTTCCAAACAACCCAGAATAAATTAAATCCCAAATTTTCTATTATTTTCTTTAATTCAAGTGAATTTCAATATTATGATAATCTTCTAAGCCAATTTACATAATCATAGTGTCTTCAAGACATAATAAAGTATTATCAAACTTTTTCTTAGAGATATCAGAGTTCAACAAATCTCCATGTGAAAACATTCTACCTTATCTTACTGCTAAAACAAATTCTTAAATGAAGTATTATAAATGATAATCATTTATCAACTTCACTTCTCTTAGACATTCTCTTACATCTCTACTTAATACTATCATATATGATAATGGAGCCTTAAATAGATTATATAATATTGTATACTTCATTAATTGTAATTGTTGAGAATGGTTATACATTCTTCTAAATTACAGATGAACTCCTTATAAGTGGTACATCAACCATGGAAGTGATATCAAATACAAGACTTCTTCTTCTTCTCATATTATCATTAATTGAAGCTTTAATTAAATCAGTTGATTCACTCTCATATTCATACACTATTCTTCTTCCTGGCTTATTAATGAATAGATTTTAACACTCAGGATAACGTTGAATTAGATCTCTTCTCTTCTTATTAATTTCCTCATCATCTAATTATACATATTCCTACACTCTTCCATTCAATATTATAAATAGTTTTTCCTATTTAATCCCATCCCTCCAAATAATGTGTCCTATTCTATATTAATCAATCAATAGCTTACCTTTTTCATATCGAATTAGTGTTGCTTTCTCAGCAAATCCCTTCAATGTTGCTTAATATAACTTTTGACCATTATTCAATTAGTTTAAATACTTTACTTATCCTAAACACTCCATCAATGCTTACACATCTTTCTTTGTTCTCTCTTACTTTTATAATAACGTAACTATATTCATTTATATAAAATTTATCAATTAAAAAATCTAAATAACACCATCATCAAAATCTATTTCAATAAAAAAGAGATATATTTTTGTACTTTCATTTTTTTTTAATTTACAGATGATAGAATTCAACAATATTATTTGCTATTTAAATTATTAAATATGTATTTCAATTTATATTTTATAACCAATTATTTATGTATCTATATCTATTCTCAATAACAATAATCTTCATATCCTTATACATTAAACTATTTGATACATCTCTCTTAACTATAAATTTATAATTAAAATCTAACACAAAAAGAAATTTCTTTTTAATTAAATAGTATATTTATATTCTTAAAACATCTAACATCAAATCTAATTGTTTTCTAATAAAATAATTAAACTTGTGAATACGATTTTGAAAGATCTAATTTAACCATTTTTATGAGAGTTAATCAAAAATTATTCTAAAGATATACCTTCAGTCAGGTTTGGATTTTAGATTATAAAAATATTCAATAAGAGTTACCTCATTTAGAAGATTTAATTATATATTTTAAACTTCAATTTTATTAAATATATAATAATAGATAATGGCCTTATAAACAAATAGTTTTTGAATTCACAAAAGATATACTATTAATACATCTATATAATTATAGCTATTTTCAAATAAATCAGAAATTATATAAAATTAATATATATGTTCGTAATATTCACCCATTACTAAGTTATTACATCATGCTCCCTTTCTTAAAAAATGTACTTTTTCTTATTTTTATCCCCCAAAATTTATTTCACCTTGCCTAATAATTTATAAGAAGTGAATTAATTTAAAGGAATAATTTTCTAAAATATTTAAATACCAATTTATTATTCAATTATGGATTGATTTAATTAAAATATCGTAAACCACTTTGAATACTGATATTTACATATCTTATAGATAACTATGTCATAAATAATCAACCATGTTATTTATCAACATAACCCTTTAAAACTATTTGATCAGTTTAATGGTTAGTCACTGAATTTCCTCTAATATCATGCTTTTCTCTCTCTTACTATTTTTCGAGCATAGTAGTCTGATATCTACTCAATATCCTCTTCTATGTAATAATACTTGTTTAAGGAACATCTTGTAATCAAATATTTGTGAAATTTATTCCTATAAAAAAGTGATGTTTCTTCAAGCTGTCATAATTATAGTCAGAATCTTTATATAGTTATGGGAGTTTTACCATTAGTATTGAATTCTAATTTATTTCAATTAAGCCCCCATACTTATTTTTTCTTTATCATAAACAAATACTGTTCCAAAATCTATCAATTTTAGATGTTTATCTTCAATTAGTAAAATATTCTCTGGCTTTATATCTCTATGAACTAAATCATTTTAATGCAAATACTCTAAAATTAATAAAAGTTCAGTAGTATAAAATTGTATCATTTTTCATTAAAATTATACTCTATCTTAAATTATTAAATACTGTTGATATATTTCAATAGATTACCATCATTTAACATTTCAAAAAAGTAATACAATTTGTTTTTGTCTTCAAATTAATTGAATGATTTAATGATTCCCTTATGTCTCAAATATCTAGCACTTCTCTTTCAATGCAGGCATGATGCATCTTTTTTTTCCTGACTTTATTCTATAATTATATCTTAACTACTGTTTAATTCCTCCTATAATCAATTATTTTAATTTCAATTCTCTAATTTTATCTATAGATTTTGATAACAATGATTTTAATTTCATCTATGTTTATATAGTAAAGCAAAATAAATTGATTAAGATACACACAAATCATAGGGTGATTTCTAATAGTAAAATTCCAATAATAAGAAATTGAAAATTAGTAGTAAGTATTCATTAAATAAAATCAATCTTAGTGATAATACTAATCCACAATTTGACTTTTAATTTAAAGTTTGTAATTAGAGTTTTAATATATTATTGCCTTATCTATAGAATTTTTTAAGAAATAATCCTTAAATTCTACATAAGTGATATTAATAGTGAATTATTTATAAATATCTATCAATATTATCAATCTAATTTTATAATATATTCACTCTAACATTTATCTAAATTATTAGATCAATTAATTAATTATAAAAATAATAAATAAATTTATAAAAATATTAAGTAGAATATTTCAAATTATCATCGAATTGTTGGAATATGCAAAGAACCATTAGACTAATTATAATTTTGATTAATTTAAGGATATAGATTCCAAAAGCGTAATGTTTCATCTCCTGCTCCAGTTACTATTGTTGATCCATCAGGAGACATAGCTAAATAAAGTACTCTATTCATTAATGTATATAATACCTGCATGTATGTCCAACTAATGTAGATATCCTTTTCATATTGTTACATTTCCATAGAACTATTTAATTTTGACTATATCCATGAGTAGAAATAAGTTCATTTTCAATTTTACTAAACATGAGATTACATACTTGACTTCCAGTGTCTTCTTTTTATAATGATTTTCCTTCTAGTGCATTCCAAAATCTAATAGTTTTATCTGCTGTTCCTCCCCCACTAGCCAATAATCCATGTTAATGAGGACTCCATGCAATAGCCTTGACTGCAGCCTAATGTTCAGACAATCTAAATATTGGTTTATCTTATTTATTTGAAGACCAAAGATAAAGTTTATTATCATTTCCCCCTGAAGCCAACATCTATCCATCAGGTGACCATTTCAAACCACAAACTTCTTATTTATGAGCAGACTGTTTCTGAAAGTAATTTCCCTTCAATCTCAAATCTCTTTATAATATTAGTTTATCTCTTGAACCACTACTTAACACATTATCTGAAAAACACAATGTCCCTACTCTTGCTATATGTCCTTTATAAGTGCGAACTCTTGATAATTTAATAGCATCCCAAATTTAGACTTCTCCTATCTTAGTTCCAACAGCCAAATGAGATCCTTTAAGTGACCATGCAACACTTGTAACTTAATCATTATGGAGATCCAACAATTTTGTAACTTTTGAAGATTATGCATTCCTGAAATTATTTATACTCACTCATACCATAAGTATACGCAAGAATTCAAAGCTACAGATAATGTATTCTAGTTACTCCAATCTATTAGATTCAAATAAAAATCATCTTAAAGTTATGGTGCATCAAGAACTTTAAATGGAACTTTCTGTATTTTTCTTACATACTTACCATAATAATTAGAGAGTGTTTCAGGTATTGTAAAATACTTATGATCTATAAGAATACTAGTTATATTATTAATTATTGCATCTACCTATTATAAATTTTAGAGTTATGGATGTTGTAATTATTCTATTGATTGTATTAAAATCCACTTTAATTGATAAATTACATTGAATCTAACTCGAATATAGGTTCCTATTCCAGTATTTACTATTTATAGAGCATCTCTAATGCCATTTAACTTGATGCAATGTCTTGATTCTCCAATTAGTTTTCCTAAATGATAGTAAAATTCTTCTTTAATTATGTAACAAATCGATCTCCTAAAAAGGATTTCTACCTTTTACAATCTGTGCTACTCAAATTATATTGGTTCTCTTGCTTTATTTATTGATGGTTCTATTACTAAATTGATGTATCATTGCATAAAGCTTAATTGGAAACAGACTTTTATATAAATCATCATTTTTACTTGGCTTTTCAATTTAGACATTTACAAACAAAATATTTATATATATATATATTTATAAATTAATAAACTTTCACTTTTATCAATAATATTTCAAAAATATATTAATTATGTAACAACGATTACAAACCCATGTAATTACTGAAGAAGGCAGAAAATCTAGTACAGAGATAAGAAGTCCCTTACATGAGATGTATTAAATAAGGAGGAATGTTATGAAACTTGAAAAATAACGAACTGATGAAAGTTGCCATCGTAAATCAGAAGAATTCATTAAAAATATTAGTTAATCTCATAGAGATGTCATAATCCCTTAACATCTTAATTTTGAGGATAATTTAGATGGTAGTAGAGCTACCATCAATTCAATTAATTCTGTTGCATAGCATTATGAAATGATTAAACCAAATGTTCATAACATTGATTGGAATAAGGAAAACAATTAAAATTTGAGCAATAAGAATAAACACCATCAAAAATGTGATTCCAATAAACATAAAACTAAAGTTATTTAATTAGATAATTAACGTTAATAAATTAATAGAACTATTCAATAAGTACTGCCTTAATGATTAATTGAATAGATGTCCAAGTGCAATAGACAATTAGCTAATGTGTTGAAAGCCTAAGTTGACAAATTATTTGATACTATCAAAACTGACTATACCTATGTTTGACATTAATTTTAATATGTTTAATTAAAAAACTATTCATTATTAATCATGTATTTTCTATTCATAATCATTTATAATATTTATATCGATATTTTATTATGATTTAAGAATACATCCTACTCTAAATATAGATATACAAATATATCACTCATCATTATTAATATAAATTATTTTAATATGAAATTGAATTTTTTTAATAAACTTTTCCTTTTGTTTTTTTATATAAATTTTTGTTATAAAACTTATTTTATAGTTATAAAGAAACGAATAACATTGATCATTCTACAGGTTTTTTTTCTGGAACTTTGACAATTTATTTATATTTTTATTGAATATCATTAAATGCTTCATCATCTTCTAAATCTTTCAATTTACTAATTATATATAATAATTAAAATATACTTGAGCAATTAAGCAGATGAGGAATATTTCAAATTTACTAACTCTCCTATTTAAGATAAAGTATTCTATTCAAATCTTTATTTAGAAGCAGTTTGATAAGTTCTTATGTATTCTTATTCATCTTTCATTTTTTTAAGTTTGTTTTAAACCATAATTTATCTATCTATATATTACTTTTAATTTTTATCCTTAAGTTTTTAATAATATTAATTACTTCTTTCTTTCTTTTTATATATTGTATCATTTCTAAATGTTCTTTTTAATTTTATATCTTTTATTCTTTGAGAGATTTCCATTCTTCACTTTTTTTAGTTTAAAACTTTTCAATTTTATCTTAAATACTTTTTAATTTTTCATCCCATTCTTCAATTTTTTCTTATTATTTTTCTTCTGATTACTTATATCTTTCTCTTTACTTTGAAAATCTAGATTATTGTTCTTTCTTTTTATCTTACCACATTTTCATTACTAATTTATCATGTTCTTCTAACAATTTTTCTGATTTAGATAATTTCTAACCAACCTTATTAAATAATTCAGATTCCTTTTCTTCTCTTTCTTATTTAATTTTTAGATTAATATTATTTAATTTCTATTCAAAAAACTATTATTTTTCTAACCTATTTTTTTCTAATTATTCTGCAGTCTTCTATCGTTTATTCATTGATAATTCTAAAGCATGTTATTTTCTCATTAAATCTTCCATCAAACGATTACCAAAATCATCTTTAAAATGATTAATTTTATCTTCTAATTTACGATTACGAGATGCTATCTCAGATATCATTTTACTTCTTTTTTATTGAATTGATAATTCTCTAAAAAAAAATATATAATATCATACTTAGCTTCTATTTTTTCTTATATAGATTTTGAAGTACGAAAATCTTATTCTAATTATTTTCTCATTTTTTATTAATGAGTTTATAATTTCTCATTTACTTTCTTATTTTCTGAAGCTGCCTTCTTTTTAAGTTTATCAAATGTCTCTTTACGTGAAACAAGTCTTCTCTCTTCCCTTTATTAATTTTCTTATAATTTGAGTCTTCTGTCCAATTCCTACATAATAGCATCTTTAGCAAAACAATCATTAATTTTTTGTTCTTTACTTCTTTCTTCTTCAATTAATTATATTTTTTAATCCAAAGTAAGAGTTTCAATTTGAGTATTCATCAACTTTTTGGTTACTACAGGTTCTGGCCACTTACTAAATTTGAAATATTTATATACTAGCCTCTAAGTTCATCTTCTTCTTTCTATCTTCTTTCAAAATCAACTTTAATTCGTTTCCTAGTATCAAATAGAGCCTGATAATCGACTATTCTTATATATTATGAATACTGATCAATTATCTCATGTAATTTAGATAGGCTTTCTACATATCTGCTTCTGTATATGGAATTTTTTGGATCTCAAAATCATAACGCAACTCGAACTTATTCCTAGATGAGTCAGATCACAAATGAAACTTTCGACGAAAGTGATAACGATCTTATCCCATACTTTCCATGGCTTTTTGAGTGATAGGAGAATCAGGACGAAATTTAAGTTCATATTCTTATATAAGGGAGAGGAGTTTGCGAGGATGGGAAATATTGATGAATTTTGGCTCTGTGACAAATAGCATTTAATAAATTAATTAATTAATTAAATGTACTCTTGTGACATACTACCATTACCAGGATAGCGGTTTCGTTATGCAAAGAATCTAAATCTACTTCATTTAGATCATTATTCAAAGTATTATAGTCTTAATAACATTTATAGTTAAGATTAACAAAGTTCAAGCAGAATTAGGAAACCGACCAGCAAATTGAAGTTATTGAGTGTATGTAATTTAAATGATAATGTAGTTACATACTTTAAAGAAGGATGAAGGCAAAAATTTTTATCATCATACTTCCATATATAATTTAAAGGAATACAATAATCTAACTAAATCTCCTGTATTTTTGTAATCATTTTATCAAATATTTCTTTAGTTTGAGTGGCAATACTAATAAATTAAATGAAATGTAAGCAAAAGTACTTTTAACTGATTTTCAGAGAAAAGTGACTGCTTATTTGAAAAAGATGCCAAATTCTAAGAATAATAAATAATATTATTCTGATATCAAACCACCAGGATATACAAAAGAATATGAGACTTTGTAAACCATTCTACATACACAATAAGAAGAATTGTTAAATCGATCATTATGTTTAAATAAATACAATTACAGACCAGAATGTAATTATTAATTTCACTATATTTTAAGTGTCTGATGTAGGAATAGAAGTAAGGTTGATGGACAGTACTAAATCATTAAGTAAACAAGTCATTCCCAATGAAAGTATACAGAATCGTTTACTAAAGTTTATGGAAAAGTACCTAAATGATGAACATATCGATTATGACTTAAAGTAATTTTGCTCTTTTCATTTATATAACACAGAATGTAGATAATGACATAACAATACCGTGAAATTGTTAAGAAGATCAAAACCAAGGCTTTCAAAATCAAAGTTCCAGATCATTATTAAGTCTAAATGAGCGATTTTAATGATTACTATTAAGTCAATGAGAAAAAGTAAAGAGAATATTTAGAATAATAATTTGATTCTTTAGCTGATTAAATTATTCAATCTATTCAATAAAGCTAAGATTCATTATCATCTTATAGAGAATCTTAATCAGATATTAATGAATAAGAACATCAACATCATCATCATCATAATATTTCAAATAATCATAATTAAGAATTCTAATAAAATAAAATAAATGATATTGATGAGGATGATGATAGAGTAGATGATATGAAATAATCCAAAAAAACTGTTAAACAAAAAGATCCAAAAAAATTAACCAAAAAGTAATCTATTAGAGTTTAAAGACCCTCAACTTTATAAAGATAAGAATCAGATGTTATTTAACAGTTAAATGAACCTAACAATCAAAATCAATAAAGAGAATAAAGATAACCAACAATTTAATAGATTGAACCAATTCATGAAGAGGAAATAAGATAGACAATTTAAGAAATCACAGAAGAATTAAAAAAACCACATAAAAAACATATGACTAAAGCTGAAAGGGAAGAATAGAAAAAAAGAAAAAAAGAGATTTAACGTTTACATGAAGATATTGAAAGAATCAAAAGAGAAAAGGGAGGAGATTTTGAATATGAGAAAACAGATTCTGATAGTGAAGATAGATTTAGAAGATAGAAATTACATAATTAATTTGATGATATGTTTAAACCAAGATAAGTTTCTAGAAGATAATCACATCAATTTGATTAAAGTGAAGGAGAAGATTTAGATTATGCTAGTGAATAAGAAGTTGAAGATAGAAATAAAATTTAAAGAGTTGAATAAATCATATAATAAAAACGAGATCCTAATTATTAATATAATCCTTAAGAATTTTGGTAATAAGAAGTTAAAATTAATGTAAAGAAACCTTAACTTCCTAATATTGTTTCTTAATAAAGACAATAAGAGTAATTCTTATAATTTTAAAGAGAAAAACTTGAATAATAAATGTAAATGATTAATTAGAAATATACATAATAACCAAATGATCTTTCTTAATAATAATAATATTCATCATAACTTAATAATCTTTAATAGTAATTAAATAATAATTAATAATAATTATTATAATAATAATAGAGTAAAAAAGATTTATAATAGATTCAATCTTAAAATATAAAATCTCCATAATAATAACATATGGCTACTCCCTATTAGGATGAAAGATAAAAATAGCATAGTCATTATAGTGTCTAAAAATCCTTTAAAACTCCATAATCCATCCCTTCTCAATAAAATAATTAAGATTCATTACCTTAAATACAAGATCACTCATTTGATAATAAACAAAATTCTTAAGCACAACTTCCATAATCAAATTAAGAGATGAAAAATAGTGTTACATAGATAACAAATTAAAATTAGAATCAATCTCAAAATAAAAATCAATAATAATAATAAGTTGGATAAAATGATTAAAAATAATAGGGTTCTAATACTAAAAAATAAGATCAAACAACTTCAGATAATAAGAATAAACAATTTCCATCTATGAAAAAAATTGATTAAGAGGGCACTTAAATATCTAAATAAATTGAAGAAAGATTATAATAAGTTTAAAATACTTTGAATAGAACTAAATTGGGTATGTATGAGAAAATGATGGCAGCTCAATCAGTTTATGATGTTGATATTCATGTAAACAATATAATACAATTATTAGGAATATAAATTGACAGATTTTCCATTAACTCAAACAGTATTTCCAAAACTAAATGGAGAGGATGAAAAATTAATCTTTCAATAATTGTAAATTTAATTTTGATATTTTAAGATATGCTTGGCAAAAAGAGATCTATAAAACAATTCCAATATTATATTAAGTCAATCGAAATTTAATTGTATTTAATGTTATTTAACATAAGATTCCTGATGAAGAAGAGGGAGCAGCTTCATAATTAGTTAGTAGTGATGATGATGACAACTGATAATATTTTAATTATTTAATGTTGTTACTATATTATATTATAATCTATATATATATTTATTAAAGTGATCTATAAAATTTTAATAAAAAACCAAAGTCTTAAGTTTTATATTTCAGTAATTTAGATCAATTGAGAATATTTAAATAAAATATTCAAATTTAAGATTAATGAGAAAGATTATCATAAAATAAAAATGATTTAGATTTAGATTATGAATTATTTTTTCTAATCTTCAGTATATTTATATATTTATTATGAATTTCATAAAATTTTATGAATAAAAAAAAAATGATAATTTATCTAAACTTAAATCCTTAGAATGCTTAAATCTTAAATTTAAGATTTCTAAAGATTTTATACATTTTTTTTGATATGAAATTGTATAATTAATTGAAACTTTAAATAATTTTGTAAGAAAAATTAAAGAAAATTAAGTTTATATTTAATTGATTACTATTTTTAGAGCCATATCAAAGGTTTAAGCACATTTCAGTAAAAATGATTCATGCGTTTTTATGATTTCTTATAATATTTATTATTCCCATTCAATTTCAATTATTAAAATTAATTTACTAAATAATGATCACTTTTTTTAAAGTATAAGTTGTATATCCATTTGTTTTATGAAAATTAATTAAGATTTAGAAAGAAAATAATTTCAATTATCAAAATTTTGGTATCTTGTATTTATGAACTTATTAAGTTGTTTATTTGGAATTTCAATAAACAACTGTCAATGTCTAAAGTATTCTTATGTGATGGTAAGGAGTGTATGATTAATAGATTATTTAATCTTAAAATTGACAATAAGAGTATATTGTTAATATGAAGAAGATGTGCATATCATGAATGATAATATAATAATATTAATTAAAAAATGGAAGAATAAGGCATGCGTCCAGAAACATCGAAGTGCTCAAGGATGGAAAAGCGAAGATTAGTGTCACAGAGTCATTAAAGATAGGAGTCAAGTCAAGCTCAAAGAATTAATGGAATCACTTTATAATAATATTTCAGAGGAGGCAACTTCAGAGTGTTAGAGATTAATGAAGATGAATGGGATAACTAATAACCTGAATAATAGGCACCTAAAGCTCCACTTCTTTAAAATAACAATTTTCGTATTAAAACAGATAAGAAGATCAACAACAAAAAACTACTTGAAAGATCCCCTGTCTAAAACTTAACTATGAGTAAAGATTTTAACCAACGTAAAATAAACCGAGTAAGTAAAACAATTGATTATTATGCTAGCCTCATATAACATCAAATGAATTCTTTCAAAATGAAGATGATCTTAGAAAAACTAAGATAGAATTGAAATATGGACGTATGAAAGAGGATGCAATTAATCGCTTTGGTAATCCGGATCAGGAACTATTAAATAGATATGCAGATAAATTTAACATAAATAAGGAGCCTCCAAAATTAACACTTGCGCCAAGAGAACTCATTACAAAATTTAAATGAATATAAATTCTTTTTTTCATTGCCACTGCAATTTCCAAATACTGTTATCTCTAAAACAGCTTAAAATATCTATCATTTCAATCCTTCTAACTAACTTTTTAATTAAATTGCAATCCCATCTATTAAAAATTCTAACCCAATATCTATTTAAATAAAATCTTAGTTTGACATGAAAATACAATTTAAACTATAGATTCATATATTGTTCCTATTTAAATTTAAACATTTTTCAAACATATAATTAATTTACATAAATTTATAAAAGATCTCCACTAAAATTACACAATTATTCATTACCATATAAGATATAGATTTACATGAATAATCTAATATATTAAGTATTGTTAAATATTATTAAAATTCAATTTAATATATAAGATATTACTTATATAGATATACTTAAAATATTCCTAAACACTACAAATCCTCCAATCAACTTCGAAAAAGAATAGCTATCAAATCTAATTTTACTCTTTTCTCAATCATCATTAAGCATATTTAATAAAATGATTAAATGTAGTTTTAAAGATATATGCATTCCTATGTTTTCAAATTATTAATTTTTTTTAATAAAAAATATTTTAATATGTTTGTTTTATTAGTCTTCTTAATTTGTAGATCAATATTAAATTAATTGTATGTATAGTTTTAATAATAAATTTATTTAAAAACCAATCTTAACTTAACTAATTTTAGGAGACTTAATCTTATTTGATATCATTCTTATATAAAAGTATAAATGGATAAAGGATAAAATATTTATTGAAATGTTTCTATGAATATTTAAACACAGAAAAATTATTATAAGAAAACTCGAGAGCATATTAATACTAAAAGATTTAAATAATCAAGTTTTAAAATAAATTCAAGAAGGAGATTGAAATCTAGTTTTGGAAGTATTATCAAATATCAAAATATTCTAAACTATCTCTTAGAGAATAATTGTTATTTAATAAAATTCTTAATATCTTTTAATTTCTTATGTATAATTCATATTTATTGTTAGCTTAATGTTCCTATTAAAGATACAATATCAACAGGTTATCCTTTAAGTTCATTAATTTCCTTAAATTTCTCAAACTTCTTGAAAATTTTTGAGATGCTCTTTTAAGTACCTATGTGTGAGGCTTTGCAAATCATTTATATGAAACCTAGTTTTCTACATTCTTCCACTGACAAATAAGCACATGAAAGGGCTAAATGTTTTTTAAAGTGATCAGCCTTGGTTGCCAGATGACTCAAATAAGCTATTTCTTTTTCTTCCATACTTTTCGTATAAGAATATTCTCCAAGCAAGAAGCCTACTAATTCTTAAATTTCTGACATAGCCTCAGATGGCTCTGGTCCTTCATAATATAAGTCATTATTAGATGATAAATCATAAGTCAAACATGCAGATACTAATTAATTTCCATTGAATGCTCCAAAAGATAGATTCTCTTATATGATCCATTAACTAATGAAAACTTAAAAAGATATTACTATTATTTTAGATTGAACTCTGTGTTTAGATCTTCTTCAGTCACTTATAATATTTTCATGCCTTCATTATCAGAAACTAATGACTTAGTCATAAGCAATTAAATATCTTTAGCATCTTTTAATTCAAGTTTTCGAAATGTATATACTTTCTATTTCTCCTTAATCAGTTCAGATAAATCATTTATATTAGAAATCTCCATTGTGATAGTTTCTCTAATAATTTAATTATTTAATAGAGATAGAAATTCTAGATTATTCGAAAAATTAGATGTGTTATTACAAAATCCATTCCATATTGGTTATTTAAAATTATGTTGAAAATAAAAAATATAAAATATGAACATTCAACTTCACTCTGTTGTAGAAATATTTCTAGATTATATTGGTACTTTAACATTTATACCTTTTCCCTATTGATATCAAAAAATTTAGAGAAAGCTATGTTTTCTAGTTTAGAATAAACCAAATTTCAATTTCCAAAAAAAATAATTCTTTAAATTTTAATTATTTTTAGTTAGCCAATATAATGAATAAACTATTAAGAATTAATAAATAAAGATAGAAATCTTCGCTAACCTTCTACTCTAAGCACAAAGGTCATCTATAAATCACCCAACGTATATGGTTATTAATTCAAATATCATTTACAGTCATTTATAATATCTTAGTTATTGAAGATAATTCAAACTCTATTATCTTAATTTATAATCATATATATTCTTATATCCATCTTATTCATTACTATTTATTAATCTAAATATTTAGATATAAAATTTGTACAAATTTAATAAATTATATTAACAAATATATTTTAAATAAATTATGTTAAAAATGTTATATATATAGATAATATTTTTTATCAATCAAGTCTATTAACTTATTCTTATTTAATGATATAAAAATTGAATATTCTTAATTTGACTTAAAAATTTTTGAATAAATGTGGAAATGTTTGAAAACAATAATATAATTTACTAAATAAACAATAATAAAACAATGATAATTATTTTTTTATTCTTAAACTATGCATGTGGGATTTCAATAAATTTATTCAGAAGACAAAATTTAGCTCAGAATAATTTTTCTAATTACTTAAACATTCAATATTATGGAGTTGTTAAAATAGGCACACCTCCACAAGAATTTACAGTAATTTATGATACTGGTTCTGGAGAATTGTGGGTGCCTTCAGTTGGATGTATTGGTTGTCACAACTCAAAATACTTTAATGTAGAAGAGTCAAAAACAGTGGAAGTCACAGATTATGTTGTAGAAATTTAAGTATACATTAATATAAAAAGTTTAGTATGGTAAAGGTAAAGTTTATGGATTTGTTGTTGAGGATTATGTTGGATTACCACAATCAAATATTCATTCGTATATGCCACTTTTATTGATTATAAGGGAAGCTGAAATCTATGGTTTATAAAGTGATGGAGTTATGGGGTTAAATAATGATAAAAAAGTTCCTAATTTATTTGATCTTGCTTAGTAGTAAGGACTTATGAATAATTCGATATTTGTTATGCAATTAAATCAAAATCCATACTAATCAAGAATATATTACAATATTTCAGAGTAAAAACTAAATAATGGTACATAATGGATTAATTCAACTGATGATGAATTTTGGGTATATTATTATATCTATATTTATTTATAGACTATTCCAGTTGAACAAGCTTAAATTTTATAATACATTATTAATTTCAATGAAACTTAATTTGCTATAATAGATAGTGGTACTTCTGATATAATGATGAATGAAGAAATTTATGAACTTGTTTTAGGTTCATTACTCAAGGTATGTAAAAAACAATTAGGAATAATATTTTGTCCTTGTAATCCAAGTTAGAATTAGAAATAATACCTTCCTGATATTATCATTATTTCAAATGGAATTAAATTTAACATCTCTTATTATAGTTATATATTAAACTCAAATCCATAGAATGATTATTGTTAGATTACACTTTCAAGTAATAAATTATTAATGAATAACTCTAATTTTATGATATTTGGAGATCCATTTCTATTCAATTACATAACAATTTTTGATAAAGAGAATAATAGAATTGGATTTTAAGATTCTAATTTAGGGATATGGGATGATTCTAAGTAATATTATGATGATTTTACCATTGAATTTACTGGAATCTTTTGGTTTTCATTAATTGCTTATATAATAATAATAGGAGGTCTTTTCTATTATAATTAGATATTATCAAAAGTAGAGATTGCAAGTCCTTCTGAATAAGGACACTCAATATAATTATGATCACAATATTAATATAATAATTAACACATATCTTATTAATATGAATAAATTATTAATTAGTATAGCCAAGATACCAATATATTAACCTAGATTTTCATTTAACAAGGTCTTGAAAGATAAGGATAAGGGTGATGAAAAACAATTTTTTTCAAAAGAAGATTGTAAATGTTTGAAGTATGATTAGAAAAATTGATGTCTAAATTAATTAAGAAAATGAAAGAAGCTAATGAACATCCATAGGCATCAACAAGTAATAGTCAAGAGGATAAAGATGAATTATAAGTATGATAAAGTATTACTAAAAATAGAAAATATTTAGTAGATATAAAGTTAATTACACAGATGCTATGATTGAAGAAATCCTTAATTGGAAAAAATCAGATTGAAATAAATACATTTATCATAATAATATCAATAAAATTATTGGATTTTTGTTATGTTTTGTTATGTTTAAATACAAATTACACAATTAATATTAACACAAATAAATATTGATAAAATAATTAAGAATTTTAACTTATATTAATAAAACTATATTAAATTAAAATCATATTAGTTTATTTGATCTATATAGATATCAATTATAAATACTTCAAAATAAGAATGAAATAGAAATAGGTAATTTTATTGAATTTTTAGTGATAAATTGTATTATTATTATTTTATTAATATTTTAATCAAGCCATGAAAAAAGTATTTAGATTTGATGAATCTAGCAATTTAAAAAATGCTATTTTTGTAAATACTATTGAAAATCAAAAGTCTGTTCTTTTAAAAACAATCAATCAAGAACTTTAAGCAAATATCTTTGAAAATATACCAAGAACTTCTACTTTTTCAAAGCATTTGAAATAATAATTGAACTAAGATATACAATAACCAAAGAAGGTTGATAATTAATAATAAATATAAATTAAAAAAATGAGAGGATAGATCTAATTACCATAATTTGATGGAGAGGTTAAATGGCCATTTTTTAGAGTATCAACAGATGCATCTATTAAACATTTTTGGAATAGAAAAACTCAATAAGATATGAAAAAGAAATGGCAATATGATAATTATGCATTCTAAAACATAATGCTTCGAATAGGGAGAAAGAAAAAGAATGTAAAAGGTTATTATTTTAAATTAACTTATTCAGGAATGCTTATGTATTTTAAAAAGGTATTTAAAATGAATAAATTAGGAATCTGATAATTATCCAAAAGGTTATTTAGAATTAAGTTACAATAATAGAGCAATTTTGTCATTTTAAAAAACAAAAAAGAATATTTAAATTCCACTTGTCTATCTAGAAAGAGCAGATGGTATAGGAATAACAATTTTTGATCATCAAAATGAATTAACTTTATAATTTTTTGAAGCTCTTTAAGATTTTTGTTTAATGAAAGGATATGAACATATATATACAGAAATTGAGACTCTTGGAAGTGGTGCATTTGCAACAGTTTATAAAGTATAAAGAAAAAGAGATGAATAAATATTTGCAGCAAAAACTATAACAAAAAAGATGTTTGAAGAAAATAAACATTAAGAGAAATTTATAGTAAAAATTACATTTACATAATAGTTTAGTAAATGGTCTACAATGAAGTAATTGCATTGAAATCATTTGATCATATTGGAATTGAAAAAATCTATGAAGTCTATTAAGAGAAGGAAAAACTAATAATAATAATTGAATATTGTGATGGTGGTACACTTTATTAATACTTTAAATAAAAAGGGAGATTGGTTGAGAAAAATATAGCTTACATATTAAAAGGAATTGGAGATGCTCTATTTGAATTACATTAAAATGGATTTGTTCATAGAGATATTAAATTAGAAAATATAATGATAGAATCTAAAGATACACTTCAAATGAAATTAGTGGATTTTGGGTTTGCAGAATAAATTAATGAAGATTAATTATTAAGTAAAGCTGGAACTCCAGGTTTCTTGCCACCAGAGATATTTAAAGGATAGCCATACACCTAAAAAGGAGATGTATTTAGTTTAGGTGTTGTATTATATATAGTAAAATATAATATAAATATATCTAGTTAGCTGCTGGATATCCTCCATTTAGAGGAAAACCAAGCTAAATATAGGTTTTGAATTAAAAATGTTAAATCAATTTTGATAAACATCCATGGCCTGATTTGTCATAAGATCTAAAGTTATTGATTAAAAGAATGTTAGAAGTTAAAGTAGAGGATAGATTACTTATTGGTGAAGTATTAGATTCAGCATTTGTTACACATCATATTAAAAATACATCAGAAACTAATTATAAATCTTATTAAATGTTGTCTGGTTTAGAAATTGAAAAACATAATAAAAAAAATAGTGTTAAAAATTCTGAATCTGGAGGATCAAAACAAAGCAAAGAATTTCAATTAGATTTTTCAGTTCATACAAATGATATTAAATCATTGTATTAAAAGAATTCAATTAAAACATTAAAGACTGTATAATCACAACGTTCAAGAAGACAATCTGTGAAATAATCATAAAATTTGAAATAATCAATGTCTGCTCCTCGAAAATCAGATATTGAAAAATATCAAGAAAAGAGAAAACAAAGTCATCCTGATAGATCAAGTTATTAAAGAGATTCAGAAATTTTGAATAGTTCTTTTGGTGAAATCATGAAATAAAATGAAAATTATAAAATGAGATAATCAATCAATTTATTAACTACATTTATAGATTTTCAAGCCCTTTCATAAGACTAAAAATAATTCATAAGAAAATCAGGTAATATATTCAATAAAACTAAAATTCCAAATCTATGAACAATTTTGATTTATTAAAATTCATAATCATTAAAACTGTAATAGATCTTTTAAACATTCATCAATTAATTAATCTTAAACCATTAATGAAATTTCAACTAAAATTTCAGATTATTCCTCATCATATATCAACCATCTCTCTTCATTTTGATAAATCTATTTATTATCATTAAAATAAATACTTCTTAATTAAGCATTCTTATCATTCTCTCCTCTTTAATTTAATTTAAGTATTCTTAATCAAGCATTAGAATTTTTGGAAAGGGAGAGTCTGGTTTATCAATTATCAAACCTACTAAGAATTATGCCCAATCAATAACTTATTATATTGCTCCCTATAAAATCTATTAAAGAGTTTCCTATTTCTTATTTCTATAATCATTTTTAATATTTATTACCTTTATATTAATTCTAAAGGCTGTTTAATCCAGGGTAAGGGAAAACCATTTAATCCAAATGGTCTATAATCATCCAAAGCTTCATTGAGTGCATCAAACAACACTTTATTATGAATATGCTCTAATTCCAATAAAAATCCATCATCTGATTACATTAATTCTTCTTCCATAAGTTAATTTTCTAATTATGCATATTATTCTGTCGTTAAGATAGCTTAATTTGAATAATCTTAATCACTTGATTAATAATCATCTTCTTCATCATAATAATGGAAAAATTTCAAGATTTCTTTTGGAGTTGGTCCTAAAGGAGTATTTATTCTTTAGATTAATTGGGTTTTCTTATCAGATTATAAAAAGTATTATTCTAATCTAGTTAAATAGATCTTAACTTATGAAATATTTGACTTGATTCCTTTTAACTCTTGTAATTTTATTGATTTTGTGATATCTTTATTATATATCTTTAATTCTTCATACATATCTTAAATTTCATTTCCAATTATTGAATTTGCAATTAAAATACAATATGATTATATTTAAGAATCATCATATTCAGGTTCCTTTTGGATAAGTGTTGATACTTTAATCACTTAAGGTTGTTGAATTTTAGCACAATCTAAAACATCACTAGTGTACAACATTTCATCATCCCATTCCAATTATTCATAAATCTATTTTTATTATTGATGTGGAGATGGAGAAGGAGTAGATTTTGGAACTTTCCTAATATCTTATGATTCACAAATAGAAGAACTAAAATTCATAGTTACAGTATCAAAATTATTAGTTTTAACTATTTTTGATTAAGAAGCTGAATTGATTTCTCTGATTGATCTTATATTAGTTATATTTTCACTTGAGAATGAAGAAGTTAATTACTAATTTTTCAATTTAGACATGAATAGCAAATCTTTTTAAGTTCTTATAAAGGATTCATATAAACCTTTCCATCCAATTTCAATATTTGATTTTTGTTATTTAAAGTCTTCTTTTTCTTTTGTAACCCATTTTTCAATTTTGAATTTTTATTTTTCAAATGTTTTTAAACTAATTTACTTTTATTATAAAGCTTAATGAATATTTTCAATTTCATTTTTATGTCTTTCTTCAATTGCTATTTCTCTCATTTTTATTAATTTATTCATATTTTCAGGATTGAGTAGCTCTCTAAATTTATTTGATGCAAAATCATAAAATGGATTCTATTCAAATAAAGAAGCATCTTTATTAGCAGGAGATGAAATCTATGATAATTTAAATAAATTTTCTGATCCCATAATTTATCTAATTTCATTTATTTTAAATTATTATTAAGGTTATTAATATTATTATTATTATTATTATTATTATTATTATTATTATTATTATTATTATTATTATTATTATTATTATTATTATTTTTCTTTATTATCTATATTTATTTCTCCATCTATTTCTTTTGCAATTTATAAAGTAAATGTTTTCAAATCTTATAATACTTCCTTAATATCTTATTTAGAACCCTTTCTTTATAGTTATGAAATCTATTCTAACATAAGATGCCATTATTATTTTGACTTTTAAATGATTATTTTATGATGAGATTTCTATTAAGACAATTTCTTAATTGATGATACTTTTTTTTAACTAAATTGACTTTCTTTATCTTCATCCCAATCCAGTTTATGAATAAAAGTATTGAATCCATTTTTATTAATTCTCTTCTAAGAAGAATTTAATCCACTTTATTCCTTCTCTAATTAACTTATTGGTTATAAATAAGATTATGTCTAATTTAAATTTGGTGTTAATTAATTCAATTTCATTTCATCTTCATCTAAAAAATTCTAATAATATTATAATTCATTTCTTGTTCTATAACCTCTCCAAAATTTTTAAATGATTATTGCTGCTTTAATAATTTGAGCCATTTCTTTTTCTAAGTTTCCCAATTCTTGTATTTATTATTCATCATCTTCATCTAATGATGGCTCAGATATAATAACATTTTATCTTCTAGTACTTTTATGGATTGAATCCATTTAAGAAATACCTTCTTAATCACTATCCAATACCAAACCTAAACAACTTTAATTATCTCTTGTATCTCTATTAAATTAAGCATATCTATCTGCTATATTTTAATATTTAATAACTAATTCTCTTTTCTTATCATCCATAGATGATTTTGGTCGTTTTTTCTAATGAAAAGACACTGATTTCTTTTGATGAACAGATGTTGTATGATTTCGATCTATTGTAAATTATTGTTTTGTATCTACATTTAATATATTCGTTTAAATTCTATAAGTTTTATTAGATTTTAGATTATCTTTGTAATTCTTATTATTTTTTGAATTACAATTCAAATTAAATTTGTTTTCGTTTCCATTCTTAATACATTCTAATTTCCTGTATTTATTATTCATTAAATTTTGGTTAATAATACATTTATTCCTCATCCTCATTAATCTTTTACTCTAAAAAGAATAAATCATATTCAAGTTTACTACTATTTATCATCTATTTAATTTTTCTTTTAGGTAGATGATTTAAAAATGAGACTCCTAAAATCTCTCTACGATCTTATTTTGGTTCTTCAAATTTGACTTTCCTTAATTGTTCTTGATACAATAGATTATCTCTCTTAACCATTTGAGCATAGATGTATTTTTTAAGTCTTTCTTAATTTAATCCCCAAGGAATAGGAGAATATGTTGTTTATTTTGATTTGTTTAATTTCTTCTTCTTCTTCTTTTTTTTTGGTTCTCCATTGCAAATTTTATCTACTTTGCTTTTGGCAACTCTCTAGTTTATAAATATAACTCTACTTATTCTTATCTAGATTCAGATTGATGTTGATGTTGATACCTGACATTTTTATAAAATATACAATTTGAATTATTGAGATAAAATTTGAAATATATTTATAATTAATTTATAATTTTATTTTTTATTCATTTTTCTTTAATAGCATCTGAATTTGGATAATTAAGTATTATTTATTCTTGATCTGATGATTGCATGAATTTGATTATCCAAAGAGATATAGCTCCTTCTTTGATTGTCATCATAAAAATGATCATAATTACAATCATGTTGTATATCAGATTATCATACAAGATTTAGGCAGCCAAGAAAAATGTAATTTTAGTTAAATTGTATTCATTGTCATCTGTTATATAATCAACTACTCTATAGATAGCTAATCCAATTGTACCTAATGACAAAATAGTTACCAATAGCTTTAGACCAATATATATTTTGTTTTATGATGGAACATTCATTAAGAATGTATAGATTGAAAATGCTAATGGACTTAATAGAAATACGAGGGACAATTGATAATCAAATGAGAAATAGATATATGTTATAAGTATGGACAATTGAATGAACAAGAACCTAATTACATAATTGAAATATGTGATCTTCCTGTAAGCTTCATCTCTATAGAATATACTTCCTAAAGTATGAAAGTTTAATAGTATTAATTTAAATTTCTTGAATGAGGAAGGCTTTGCTATATTTGTCAATGATGGTGAAGATTAATCATATTAATTTCTACTTTCTTTATATGTAAATATTTCACTCTTTTTCATATCTGGAGTTTCATCTTTTTAATTTGTGATGACAATTTCTGATTAGGATTTCTTGTGATTATACACTTTTGCATATTATGTATCTTTGTAATGAGCAAAGAAAGCAAACAATAAAGTTAATGATCCTATACAAATTAAATAAATAAAGAAGGGTTCAGAAATTAATAGAGTATTAGAAGTATTATTATTAATATTTTTAGTTTAATTACTATTATTATTAGTATTATTTGAATTATTATTATTATTAGTATTATTATTATTATTATTTTACTCATCTTATTCATCTTATTCATCTTATTCATCTTACTCATCTTAATCATTATCTGGATTATCTGTAGTTTAATTTGTATTATTATTTGTACTATTATCTACTACAGTGCTATTAATTACAATTGTAAATGGATTAAATTAGAAAATCTTACATGAAATAGCAGTTTTATTAATAAGTATTGTTTCTATGTCTTTAGATGTCCAAATATCAAATAATTTTTGTATACAAATAGTTTTATTATTTGCATAATCCTCATCAACTATAAAAGTATAAGAATATGGTTATAACATTATAGCATTTTATTATGTTAATTCATCCACAACTCTTAAAAAGATTGCTTCAGCTCCAATTGAATCATTCTTAGGGAAGGTCTCTTCATTTAAATATGGATTCACAATAAATTTATTAAAGTAATATTAGTAATTAGATTAAGTGGATTCCAATAATCTAAATACAGTTTCTTCTTTCAAAATATTTCCAGTCATTTCATTTATAATTTTATAACTAGCCTTTCTAATTTATAGAGTTGCTAAATCATTTTCAATTGTAAAACCATCACTATTTAAAATAGTTAATTCAATTAATTGAGTTTTGAGTTAATCTATGTATTCCAAAACTTATTCATTAGTAGAATTGAAATATTTACTATTGGTAATTAATGAAGAGAACAAATCAAAGTATTTATAATAATTATTAATATAACTTTATTATTACAAAGTACTTTGAGTATCTAATTATAAGGTTTTAAGTTTTTCAAAATTGGATTATATAATTTTATTAAATGAATTCAAAGAATCTAATTGTACCTTAAATTATGAAATCACTTCTTTATCATTAATTAATTAAATCATCTGATTGAGTATAACATTTTATTGATCAATTGATAGATCATTTTATGCTATTAAATCATTTTTTCTAATAATATCATATTTGAATTATGAACAATTATCCATTTGAACAACTCTACTAACAATTAGATCTTAAATTTAGAGTGTATCTTATAGGTTTTCAGAATGATCAATCATTTTAGTTAATTGAGTTTAATTGATTTATTAATTTTTAGTGATTACAATAGATGTAGTAAGATTAGAGATTCCATTTTTATTATCTTTGATCATAAATACTAGGAAAGATGTGAAATTGTTAGATTATTATGGACCAACAAATGGTAATTGAAATGTTATTGTATTATTAGATTAATAATCTAAGATGTTTATATTATTGATGAATCTTCCGATAGAGAAATCATAATCATACATATCTTTATCATTATAAAATAAGACTTTATATTCTAATGGTTGATCTTCATCTTCACAATAAGCAATAGTCATATTGACATATGTTTTAAGTTCATATATAATATCATCAGGATTATTGAAAATCAAAGTACAATTACTTGGTGGCAAATTATAGGATAAAATAATGCTTCTTAAAGATGGCATAACATAAGTTGGATTATAGACAGATGTTCTTAATGTAATTTTATTACCTTAAATTGTATTAAGATTGGTAAAATAATCAAGTAATCTAAATTTAAAAGTTAAACTATAAAATTTAAATGATTTAACAGAAACTTAATCATATATTATGGTAGCTGAATAAAATAGGTTGTCTGGATTAGCTAATGAATATTAAAAAGACAATTAAATTTCATCATAATAATTAAATGTTTATGTAATGATCTCTGCTTCCTCTTTTTCATTTGCTGATTGTAATTAAGGAACATCAACTTCAACTATTTGAATCATAGATTTTCCTGATGCTTATTTATTACCCTTCTTTGTTTCTGCACTAAAGACATATGAATTATATTGAGTTAATTCACTTGCTTATATTACAACAGATTTTCCATTTGGGTATTTGATGAGTTTACCATATAAATCTAAACATTCAGCACCTTTCAAAACATCAAAACATGTCCATGAGAATATATATTAAAATGGATCTGTTTCTTTTGGATCAATATCTTAATCTATAACTGAAGCTGTCAATATAACTATAGCAACATCACCAACTTGTCTATTTCCACCACTTACTTTTACAATTAAGGTTCCTTCTGCAATTTCTTAATTCATAAATATATTTGCTTATAGTGATTATGATGGAACATTAATAGCAACACTAATATTATTTGACCCAATTTAAAGAATGTAAGGATTTATTGGAATTTGGAAATCGAAAGCAGAACTCATTTATAAAAAGAATATCTAACTCTATTCAGCTAATATAATTGTATCCAATTTAACTAAAATTTCAACTGTCTCAGACATTTCTGAAGTCAATGTACAATTTGAATAAATAAATGTAAAATTGAGCAGAGTTGTTTCATATCTATAAAATGTATTCTATTCTTCAGGTTCCTATATACTTACTTGAGCAGGTCCTAAAGTTTAAAGGAAGAAAGTATTAGAAGCATCTAATGCTAAGAAATTTCTTAATTGTATGTTAAATGAAAATGTTGTAAATGGTTTTAATACTAATCTAGGAATTGTTATATTAGTATCATATGTTTTAGCTGGAGTAATTGAACTAAGAATTGAACTTAATTGAGAATTCACATAATTTTAAGGTTATATCAAATCCCAACTGAAAATATCTAAATTTCTACTACCTGTATTACCAAGAGTATATTTTATGACTACTGCCTCACAAATAGTTTTTGGTTATTAAGCTACAAAAGTAATGTATGGTAAATTCTCTTCATTTGAAACAGCTGGATCCATTATTAAACTACTAGATTAAAAGGTTGGAAAACCTGCTGTACATATTTTCAATTTGAAACCATTTCCAAAAGAAAAATTATGTCCAATTACTATTGTAGCATACTTACCAAGTGTTACAATTATAGAATTTTCATCAATTGTACAAATTGGACTTGTACCCAAAGTAGAAAGAGTAGATGCCTAGAAATATTGATCACAACCTGTTTGAGTACTATCAACTAAATCTAAAGGTCCTCCAAAATCAATCTTAATTTTATTTAATCCTAATGTTAAGGTTGAATATGGTACACCCATATCACAATTAGTACAATATACAGATCCAATACTCTTTCTAGAATAACCATCTTTACATATGCATTTACCAACAAATGGACCACTCATATTACCTTTACAACTAACACATCCATTTGAATCACAATCTCCACATTCAAATGCACATTTTATACATTGACCTGAAAAATCAAAGTAACCAGAAGGACATGTACAAAATGGGGGATTTTCTCTTATTCCTGAACATATTAAACATTTATCTGCAATATCTACACAAGTTGTACATACTTCACTACATGGTTAACAAATTGGAGTGAGATTATCAAAGAATCCATCTGGACAAGTACATGAAGGTATATTTTCTCTTCTATCTGCACATGTTGTACAAATATTATTTTCACATAATTCACATTTATAATTACATTTTGGACAATTTAATGAAATACCATCTTCATAATAATAATCAGGACAAATACAAGTAGAACCATATCTATTTCCTTTACAAGTTAAACAATTATTAGCTTATACTTTACAAGTTGCACATTTATGCTCACATGGTGAACAATCTGGAGTTCCAACATCATAAAATCCTCTTTAACAAGTACATTAAGGTTTATTTTATTATCTTGATGGTTAACATGTAACACAATTTGATGATTAAAGAGCGCATGTTGCACATTATGGATCGCAATTAATCGTTATTTATACTAAAGGGTTACATTCTACTCCACTCAATACATATCCAGGACTACAAGTAGTTACACATTGCATTCTTTCTATGTACACTGGGCATGTCAAACAATCAAAACTTGATCCTCCTTAACAGGTAAGACAAGACACATGACATGGCATACAGGCTTAATATGTATCTGAAGCATAAGTTCCATTTGGACAAACACTTAAACATTAGGCTTGATAAACATAAGTTGTAAGTGGACAAGAATCACAATTATTAATTAGAGGACCATGACAGGTCAAACAAGATGAATGACATTCTGTACAAATTTTACCAGTT